TTTTTTTTTTTTTTTTTTTTTTTGGTACCGGGGATTGAACTCAGGTCCTTGCGCTTGCAAGGCAGGCCACCGAACCGCTGAGCTAGATCCCTGGCCCTCTTTTTTTTTTTAAGACAGGGTCTCACTATGTAGCCCAGGCTGGCCTCACACAATAAGCCTCCTATCTCAGCCTCCACCATTATTTCTTTTACAATCATTTTTTTAATTGAAACACACACTATATATTTCAATCAGTCCTGTACATGTCTTAAAAACAAAAAGACTGTATCTGCAGCCATGGAGCTGAGCTGCAGGCAAGGGGTACCCCTTCATCACACAGTAAAGGTAGTGCAAGACCAGCCCCAGGTCACCCCAAGGCCCAAATACAGGAGTTCTGGAGGACTCTCTGTGAGGCTCTCGGAAAGCAGAGGGCTTAACTATTTCCCACAGCTGGGGCTGGCGGTTGGTTTGCTCTACGCGCAGGTGCTCTTGGGAACCAGAGAGGACAAGGCCGTGACTATAACCTTTCTGACAATTGCAGTCCATAAACATTTGGACAGCAGCCCCAGATTGTGCCTGCTTTGTGTAGATTTCCCCCAAGGCCAGTGTTCTGGGAACCCTGGGTTTCCTAGCATCTCAGGAACTCCTTAAGCACCCTGCTGGGATCAAGGCTTATGGTCCAAAGAACACCTTCCCCTTGGAACCTGTCCAGGTCTGTGCATTTCCTGCTACCTTGTGGTTTGATGCCAAGGTTCTCTGTGGCCAGAGAGGAGATGAACAAAGCTCAGTCATGGCACGGGCTGAATTTTTGAAGAAGCCTGAAGCCTTAAAAAGAAAATGCTGAGCTCTACACAAAAGAGAAGCTTCCTAGTGAAGGGGTGGGAGAGAACAAAGTAGGGGGGAAAAAATCATACAAAGATCTGGTTTTTGTTGGGTAACTCTTTCGCCATGATTTAATTTTTTCATAGACTGTTTGCTATTGTTTTGTTTTTGGTACCAGGGATCAAACTTGCATTTCAAGGCAGGTGGCGGAACCACGGAGTTAAATCCCTGGCCCCTCTTGCTATTATTTTTGGGTTTTTTTTTTTTTCTTTTGGTAGGTAGTGGAGATTGAACTCGGGTCCTTGCGCTTTTGAGGCAGGCAGTGGACCCACTGAGCTAAATCCCCAGACCTGTTTTGTTGCTGACAGGTCTTGCTGTGTAGCCCAGGCTGGCCTCAAACTCGAAGTGATCTCTTATCCTTCTAAGTGCTGAGATTAAAGGTATGCCCCACTATGCCCAGCTGTTATTGTATTTTAAAAACGAGAAATACAGATATCAATAGGATAAAAACTATTTTAATGTGACAAGCAATATATTACATAAAAAATCTAATTAATCTAAGGGAGACAGAGACGATCCTCTCTGTAAAAGAACAGGTTCCCCAGTAACCAAGGCCCAAATGAGCCAGCCACTAGAGGGTGCCACATCCTTAGAAAGTTGAGAATTTTACAAAATTTTTGTTTTTTTTAGACAGGGTATCCCTGTGTAGTTCAGTCTGGCCTTCAACTCGCTACAGAGCCTAGGCTGGCTTCAAACTCCTCATGATCCTCCTGCCTCAGCCTCCCCATTGCTGGGATTCTTTGACAGGATCTTTCCCAGCTTTCAGGAGACTCCATGTCAATCCCTGCCAAAAATAGCCACCCTCCAGTTTACATTTATTCACTTTGTTTCCATTCCAGAACAATGGTATTTGCTGTGTGTATTTCCTTAGCAAGTTAGCTCCTTCAAAGGAACTTCTTCTTCTTACTGGTATCCCCAAAGCTAAGTACATGACAGGGCTTGTCAATCCCAACTACATAAATGAGTCTAGTATCAGGCTGTTTTAAGGTTCAACCTCCCGATGTCACTTTCTAGTCTCTAGGTGACTTGAGGCAAATGTTTGAGCCTTTCGGGGTCTCTATTTTGCCGTCTGTGGCTTGGGGGCGAAACACCGACTGGCAGGGCCACATCGAGCATTGCAGACCTACTCCGGAATCCAACCACAATGCCCAGCCTGGCTGTTTCACGAGGAGCCGGCTCCGTGGAGTCCAGCAAGGTTAAAGGTAATTTTTTGTCAGTATAGCAAGGGATAGGATCTCTGTTCAGGAGTCCTGGGGTCTGAAGAAATGCAGATTTTGTTTCTGGTAGGGGAAAGACCAGATCGGAGGCTGGGCAGCGAGCGGGGCCTGCTCACCGCTTGGCGATCTCCTGGTAGCGCAGCTGCAGCTTCGCCTGCAGGTCTTGCTGTGGGAAGAGGACAGGGAGGTCAGCCTGCGGGTCGCCCGGGAGAAGAGAGGCCGAGGGGACAAACGAAGGAAAGGCAGGGGATGAAAAGTCAGGACAGAGCTATGGACCCTGCGGGTGAAACGGAAAGGCAGGACCACAAGATCCAAAGCTGAGGTCTGGGGCTAGGGAGGTCCCACAGCGGAGTTAATGCCAATGGCTAACGGTGGGCAAGCAGCGAGTCCCTGGCTCACAGATTGGCGGATCCCGGGAACCCATGGCCTGAGAGAGAAGGAGGTGAGTGGCGGGAGCGGGTCCCGGGAGCACAGAGCCCACATCCCTCCCAGCGTGGCCCAGTCCTCCTCGCGCACCCCGGAAGCCCAGTTCCGTAGCTTCTGGATAATGCGAGTAGCGGACGCCATCTTCCGCAAGCCCTGAAGGGCGCCGGTGACGTCGCTAGCGCGGAGGCTTCTGGGAAGCGCGAGGCGAGATCTCACGAGAGTTGAAATGGGCGGGGGCTAAGGCATCTTATAAAAGGCTCCCTCGAACCACGTGACTCCTCTCCGCCCTGACCGCTGCCGGTCGCCATCATGGATACGAGTCGCGTGCAGCCTATCAAGCTGGCTAGGGTGAGTGGGGGCCTGAATTTGGGCATCTGGGAAAGAAGCGAGAAGGTGGAGATCCGGGCTGGCCAGGTCTGACTTCACTCTCTTTGTACCAGGTCACCAAAGTGCTGGGCAGGACCGGCTCGCAGGGACAGTGCACACAGGTGAGCTGGTGGGGGTCCGCGACGATTTCCCGGGGTTTTCGTCCTGGCGAAGGCCGCTCTCGTGCCCCGGGTCCTTCCGGGGAGAGCTGAGAACCCACGTTCCCTTCATTCCGGAGCTCATTCTCGCCCAGTCGGAATCTACGGAGTGGGGAGCGGGAACCGGCCGCGGCCCGCCCTGACTCCCCGTCCGCCCTGCGGCCCGTAGGTGCGCGTGGAATTCATGGACGACACGAGCCGCTCCATCATCCGCAACGTGAAAGGCCCAGTGCGCGAGGGCGACGTGCTCACCCTGTTGGAGTCAGAGCGGGAAGCCCGGAGGTTGCGCTGAACTCAGCTGCTGGTGGGTACGGAGGAGGAATCCTCCTTGGACCTTGAGCTAATCCCGGGGTGAGAGGATCTGCCGAGTGGCAGCGGGGAAGAGGAATTCGCCAGTTGCTAGGGGACTTGTCTGCATCTCTCTCTTGGGTCTGTTTACAGGGTCCTGGGTATCTACCACCTGACCCACGGATGAACTGCGACTCAAAATAAAGCGTTTGTATTGCGTGTGAACTCCAGTCCTCCTGAGCCTCTTAGAGATTCTCTTGGCCCTGTGATTTATGCGGTCCCCAGGTGGCCACAGGTCTTCTGTACTCTGGACAACTTCAGGACCATTTTCCCCCACCACATGCACAGACACACACTGACCCTAGACAGGAGAAGCTTAGTAGCAGTGTTTTATTAGGAAAAGAGTTGGAGAGAGTGGATGGGTGTGTGATCCAGGTGCTGAGGTGGGGAGGGAAGGAGCTCCCGGAGTCCGGTCCGGTGTTGCTGGCTGCTCATTGAGGCTGGGAGTCCTGTCTGACCTCACTGCACTCACCTTCACTGGGTGTGGCTGCAGGAGAGTCTAGGGGTGACTGGTTCTAGAGGGAGGGGGGAGGAGGTCCTGTTGGAGGCTGCAGACAGCAGGCGGGGCGGGGGGGGG